ATTAGAGTCCATCAGGACTTTTTTTATTGTTTGAAAATTGAAAGTTTTCGAGTTTGATAAAATAATTGCACTATTTCCACCTGTTGAAGGCATTTTTGATGAAATGAAAATGGGGTATGTTTTTTAGATCTCGAAGTGGTGCAAGTGTTTGAAATCCGAGAATCAGGCAGATTTGATTAAAAATTTTGTTAAATCCTTTTTCTGCTGAGTCATTATAAAACAAAAAATCTTGTAAAATTTTATTCCATAAGCAAATCTTTTGACATCTTGACGTGATATATAAAAGAATCCGATTAATCCCGTTTTTAATAAATAATTTGTTTTTTCTCTTTTGAGTTTCTCAAAAAAGTTTATCAATCTGAAGACTCCTAATAGAAAGTTTGGATCGTATCTTCTCTCAAGTTTTCCAAAAAAGACGAGAAATATTGTTTTTACAGTCAATTTTCCTGCGCCTGATCCCTGCCAGACATTTTTATATCGCAAGTTAAGCGAAGCTTTGCTTAGCCTCTGTTTTACGAAAAGGCTTCATCTCAATTCTATCAAATTTTTATCCAAATTTTTATTGTTACCGAAGACTATGATATATTGGACCGTGAAAGTATTATCGAAATCTTTAGAGATAGATGTATGTATATATGCTAGTTTAGCCTACATTCCATGAAAAATTCCCTCTTTTGCTTAACCGTATTTTTCTAGAAAATGTGTTCTTGAAAATTGGGATATTGATCATTTTTTATTTAGAAGCTAGCTGAGAAAAAAAAAGATTATAACTGACATATTCTTTTTAGTTTGAATCACAATTCCAGTTTTAAAATATAAACTTTTGGCAAGTTAGATTTCACTGAAACAATAAAAGAAACCACGGTTGCTCATCAATTAGGATGTCTCAAAAATCAAAACTGAAACTTGTTTCATTGCTTAAGTCCATGAACTTTTGATTGGAAGCAACAAAGTTTCAAAAAGTTTCACTGGCCTTATTTATTTCTGATTATTGAACCATAAGAACACTCTAAAAATATACATCTCATTAATTGAGCTTATTAAAAATCTGGATACTTATTATCGTGAATCTTTGTAGAAAAAATCAACATTTTCATATTTATCATGAATCTTCTAAGCAAGCTATATCGACACGCCAAAAAAACAACCAAATCTCAAAAGTAAAGTGCTTTGGCAAAGAGCGACCGCATGCTCCACTGCGCTTATGTTGGTGAAGATGGGCATTGTGTGCGTGAATAAATGTTTGACTCATCAGTTTTTCGGAGTTATTGGTTCAGAACTAGCAAATGATCAAAACTGCATGAGATATCTATGATTTTGGGCTTGTAGTTGCATATTTTGAAATATTTTGATTTCTCAGAAAAATTTCAATTGGAACGGACTTTTTGTTGTGTTGGAATGAACAATTATATATTATCTAATCAAATACAAATATAAATGCATTAGAGTTTTTGAGCCAGCAATCGTTTTGTTCTGACTTTCGAAGAAAGGAAGAAAGCGAGGAATTGAAATGCCCAGCTGGTTTTTTTTTCATTCAGACTAACTTTGAAGTAAGAAAAGTTGACTCCGTAGAGGCATCGATCCGAAAATTTTGTGATTGCCAAGCGAGTATGTTTGCTTTTCACAATTTTACGGCTTTGCTGCTAGAATAATACTTAGATAGTTTCCTTTAAAACGCGAATTATGGGGGCTAGGAAGTTACACAACAAGCAAATTAGACGGCTCCAATATGGAATAATACTTTCATAGCTTCATTCAAAACGCGAATTATGGGGGTTAGCAAAATAGACGACAAGCAAATTATACGGCTCAAATTTTTTAAAGCAAAAACTAGCATTTTAGACAAAAAGCAAAGGGCTAACAAAAGTTATTGCTTAGAACAAATTTTCACAAATACAAAAAAATAATCCCTTTGCATATCAAAATATTTATTATAAAAGATATATAAATTGTTAATCCAAATAATATAAAACATTTATGCAATTTCGACGTGTGAAAAACTGATTCGCATTTAAAAAACCTCGAGCGAAAGTTAATTGTTGTCAGTGAAAGTTAATTGTATTCAGTAAACAGATGTCACACACGTTAACAATACATTTACTTCTTATCTCCCATATTTGTTATTTAACATCGACGTCTAAATTCAATTTTTGGGCCATGTCTAAATTTCTTTTCGTTTGTTTTCGTGGTCCAATCGAGTTATTTATGAGTGGAAAATTATCCGCACTCATAATCGTTCCAATTTGAAATGAGGCAAGCTAATTGGTCTAATTAATTCCATAAACGGCTCAAATTTTAACATTTTGATATTATCAGCCTAAAATATGTTGTTTGTCAAATTTTTATATTCCAAAAATGATTCGAGACCAAACAAGACTGCTCGTATATCAGGGCAAAGCCCTGGATGTTCCGACTGTCCCTTAACTTAAATCGAATAGTTTTTGGGGAAAAGAATATTGAAAACCTGTAAATTTTGAACAGTATCAAAGTGTGAGGTTTTTGGTCGTAAGAAATTAATATGACCGATTAGCTAGCCTCAGTTCAATTCGGAACGATTTCCTTGTGCTCAATGCAATTTTGTTGTGCGGGATAATTTGCCGCGCATAAATATGCGTTACACTCTCAGCATCATGAATAATTTCTTCAAGGCGTGCAGAGTTTAGTCCAGAACATGGCCATTTTGGCGATTTTTAAACCCCTAGAACTTTACAAAAAAACAAGCGGAGGTAAAAATATCTTTTTAAATCTGAACCCAGGAAGTTGATATTTTCAATAGATTATAAAAGTTTTTTGTTGAAAACTATTATTTTGATCGGCGAAAATTGACTGAATAAAAAAACCACAACGAGCATAAATATTCCGTTTTTTTCGAAAGTCGGAACAATAATGGGCAGTCGGAACGATCAGGGCTTTGCCCTGATACGAGCAGTTTTGATTTTGATTTTAGACATACGGTTTGATCTCCATAGGCATGTGACAAGATGTCGTCTTTTATTAAACGCACACCAAAGAAGAGGAAAACTTGGAACTATCTAATTGATTTTATTATTTGCATAAGAACAACATCAGGAATTCTGTTCTATACGATAGCATTGTTCCGAACGATTTTCGAAAAAGGGATGAGCCTTAGATGTTTATTCAGACAATTTCGACTCTTCATTTACCAATTTTCGAAGAAATGTTGTGTGCAGTTTGCTTAACATGATTTGTTCAACTTAATAACAGAAAAAAAAAGTACAACTACTGATTTCGAAACCTGTTAAGTTTATGTTTCAGTTGTCATCAGAGGCGGATATAGGATTTTTTTGAAGAGGTGGGCGGATTTTCGAGAAAAAAAAGATTAATTTGATCAGGAGAGGATCTAGGTTTTTCTCGAGGGGGGGGGGGGGGGGGGACTTTTTTTAGGTCGACCGAATTGACTTCCCAAACTCTCCCAAGGAACTAAAAAGGCCCTGTTTTGGCCAATTTTTCTGCGCCCAGGCAAAATTTTAGGGTGTTTTTTAAGCACTTTTTGACCAAAAAAATTGTGTTTTTTCCGCGCGCGCTTCCCCCTCAAAGTTAGTGTATATTGTCGCCAAAGGCGCCTTTAGAACATTTTTAGGGTCTGTCACAAAAAATGGATGTCTCTAAATAGTACAAAGGGGGGTCTTATGCATTATATGGCCCAAAATCATTATTTCTACATCTCTTGAACTGAAATTAATGTGGTTGAATTTGATTGGCTAATTAGCCAATCAAGTTCCATCGACATTTTCGTTTGTCAAGCCATTTATTAAGTTTTTCTTGTCTGGGTTAGGTTTCACAAGAAACTCAAAATTAACTTGATTATTTTACAAAGTTCCATCTTTTCGGAAATTTTTTCGGTTAATATTTTTTCTGCTGGAAAGGTTGATCGGAATGCCTGACCGTCTAACTTGAATTTGATTGGCTAAAATTACCCAATCAGATTCGATCGCATAATTTCCAGCTTACTATGTAGAAAATTTGATTTTGGCCCGTTTAGTGCATAAGACCCTAATAAGGGGACCCTTTGGGTCGGCAGGGCATCGAATCCCTGAAAGGGGGCGTCCCCCCTCCCCTGCCCCTGAATTCGATGACCGTTTTTCTGTTCGGCTAAACTGATTTTCTGGGTTTTAAAACACAATTAAAAGACTCTATTTTGGCAAAAATCATTTATCTGAATCCAAGTATAACCATCCGACGTCTTAGTTTCCCAAATGCTTATAGCGCAGCACTTGTTGTGATACACTGACTTAGTAGCCGTGAATCTTTTATTTCAATTTTTTCTCTTTCATGTTGTTATTATCACCTTTCTCACGGAGTATACATTCTCAGGTAACTCAAATAAAGTATATTATATGAAAAATAAAAAATTAGGATCCAAATTCCTAACAAACTGGAGATGACGTTACTATAGGCAAAATGCTTCCCGTGAAAATGACTCTTTTAATCAACGATTGGCCTTTTCTAACTTGTATTATTTCACAAAAAGCTCGAAGGAAAATTATAACGATTTCAATCATGCTTTAATCACGCTTTCATTCAGATTGCGAAAGTTATTTCCAAAACGTTATCTCCCTAGCAGAGTAAATCTCATCGAAGCAGACACTATACATTTTAAGACAATAAATATTAGTCGATTTTCCACACTTGCTCCGATATTTTACCTAATTATGGTGCTATGAAGTAGCCAATTGAAAACGAGCATCTTGAAAATGACTCTTATGAAACATTTAACAATTTCGGTCGCTCTAATTAGAATACTAGATTTCTAGCTGACATCATTGGACAAAAGCAAGGGCTTTTATATTCTTAATTGAGGCGGTTTGTCTTTTGTACACCACACACTTTAAAAATAATAGCTTTTCAAAGTGGTACGATTTCAAATTCTCATCAAATCTTAAGTTACGCTGATCTAACGCTCAACAGTTATACGAATGGGCAATAGTGCCTTGTGGTACCTCTGAAGTGTTTGAGGTCCCGCTTAATTTGTGTTTTAGAAATCTTCAAAATCAGGAGGCCATAGCTGCGACATATAAATCTCAATTCCGCAAATGAAATCAGTTAAAGAAAAATAATTCTTTTTGTGGCTGTCTTGCGCAACCTTCGATTGCATCTATTATTTGTGAATGTAAAATGGCAGCTTTTGTTCTGGCATCTATGTTCCTTTTCGGACCTTCTGTGATTTCAAGCTCCTCGTTGTCCGATGACGAAGCTCTGTTTCTTAACGTCACTACAGTGCTTCGGGAACCATTTCTTTTCGACTTGGTTGACCTAGAAAACAACACTAGGCGAGTCGGCTACATCAAAGACCTCCTAGAAGCCATGCGACTTCGGATACCGTTCGACTATGATTTCTACCTTTCTCCGGGAGGCAACTACGGAGCCCCGGATGAAAATGGAACCTGGAATGGCATGGTCGGGGAAGTCTTATATGGGCGCGCAGATATGGCAGCCGCTGATTTGACTATTAACGCTCCAAGGACTGAAATTTTGACTTTTTCACAGCCATTTATGAACGTCGACTTAGGAGTTGTTTACAAGAAACCATCGGTGCAACTTCACATGCTGGCCTTCATGATGCCCTTTTCAACCCAAGTTTGGTGTGTCATTTTAGGATCCTTGGTTGCAACCTCAATGTCTCTCTATGTTTTTGGAATCTACAACTCCAAAGACGACCCTCTAGCAAGTGTTGCTGCTTGCTTATACTTTGGACTGGCCTGTCTTTTTGCACAGGGTCCAGAGACTTACCCACGATCTATGGCGTCCAGAGTCACAGCTATTTCTTGGTGGTTCTTTTCCCTTATGATGCTCACGCTTTACACTGCCAGCTTGACATCAATGTTGACTGTCAACAGAGCAACTTTGCCAATCGACTCAATTGAAGATCTACTTAACTACGAGGCGTTTCACTATGGAATCGAGCCCGGAGGTTCCACTCAGTATGCATTCCAAAATTCAAAATACGCACCGTTTCAAATGATGTGGGCAGAAATGACTAAAAGAAAGGACACTGCTTTCTTCCGAGGCGCTGGAGGAGTTGAACGAGTGAGAGACCGAGAAGACTACGCTTTCATTCGGGAATCACCATATTTGGAGTACGACATAACGTTTGCTCCTTGTGATTTAGAACTGGTTTTCAGCTCCAGTAGTCCTAAATCAGGAGCTGGATACGGATTCGCCTTTCCAAAAGACCACCCATTGGCTCGCAATTTCTCGGTTGAAGTACTGCGCATGTTTTCTGACGGAACTCTTGCTGGAATTCATACCAAGTGGTTCAAAACCAGATCTCAATGCTCCGAAGAAAAGAAACTGGCTAGTTTCGTGGACACAATTGATTTCGAGGAGATCCAAGGAGTGTTTTTCACGTTTCTAGGTGGAATCGTGCTATCGTTTCTGTTCTTTGTGGTGCGCATTGCGAGGACTGCCAAAGACAAGACTTGTCCTTCGAGTAAAAAAGATGAACTTGATCGAGCAATGGCAACTGCAAATCCCTTGGCTGCCAATGGAACATTGAATGAGATAACTGCTAACGGAAACGGAGTTGCGACTACAGTATTCAGCGACAGCCTGAATAAGTGAATGTTGCCAATGATGTGAATTAGCTGAAAAAAGAGCACCAAAGAAGTTCACTAATCAGCCATATCTCTTATGTTTCATAGCTATAGCTAAGCATGTCAAACACAAACTGTCCCTTTGTAGAATGTAGAAAACTTACCCGATATTTTTTGACACCCCGAATAAAAATTTTGAAACAGTTTTTCCAAAAGTGACGCTTAGCATCATAGTAAGCCGCTCGCAGTATAAATAATCAAAGATTTAGGACACATCGATTTCTTTTTAATGAAGCTTGATGACGAATCGCTATTTTGAATAATGAGAATATGGCTCCATTCTGAAGTTTTGAAGTATGGGTCGATTCGGGTATGCGCACGCTGGAAATTTTTAGAATGGAATCGAAATCGAATTAATGTAATCCCTTCCCTGTGCTTCTATTTAACTTTGGGCTCATTAAACGTCAAGCCAAAGTCATTCAAGATAAAAAGTTGCATTTTTCTTACCATACATTTGACTTTTTAAACTTGTTTTCTCCGAAAAGAATTTCTAATCAAATGACTTTTGACACTTTCTAGCATCTTTCTAAGAGTTCGAGAAACTATACAAAAAATCAAAACTCGTTTGATCAGTAGTTCTGACTCTGCAGAAAATGGGAGAAGCAACTACACAGAAAGCGTGTCTTATTTTGCCGTTGGTTTTCTTCGCTCTTTCTATTTTGCTTGTTCTCATTGTACTCATCTGGGCCATAGGAGTCTCAAAAGGGGCTGAATTGTCATACGGACTCAAGGTAAGGTATTTTCTCAAGGAAAAATTTCGTAGCTTTTCTTCAAGTGAGCCGATTGATTTCCGAAAAATGAACTTTTTAGGAGAAACAGGCAACATAATCCAAGCCAGCTGTTTTTCATTTTTTGATTCAAAACCTTTTGTCAACTGCATTTAAATTTTTCATAAATAATTAAAATTAATTTAGCTGTAATGAACCATTTCTTGAAGCCTGAATGAACATCCCTCAATGAAAAACTCAAAAAATTAGATTTTCAGTTTCGTCAATATATGTTGTTGGAAAATTCTATAAAACATGATAAGTACCTGTTCTTGATTTTTGTCTGATGAATGTTTTGGAAACTTATTAAAAGTTATTTTGTTCCCTTAGAGTAAATTGAGTGAACCAGAAAAAATTGATGAAAAGTAAAGTTATGGAAAATCAATATGTGAAATCGATAAAAAATTTTGTCCATGGTGTCAAAAGTGTTTTCAGTCATCGGACGATAAAAAATTTTGATGAAACTTGAATTTTGACAGATGTTTTGACGGTGTCCTACAATTTAATGACATACACTTTAACACCGTACATTTTAAAACTTAGTCATTTCACTACTAAACAATTTAAATCGACAACAATATAACCCCTATTTTCCAGTTTAACACAGTACATTTTAACACCTAGTCACTTCACTATTAAAATTAATGCTTTATGAATTCCTTATCTTAACTCTTATCACACCAAAGTTAATCCTGCAATTAACACGCGCACTATAATGAAAAACTTGGTTTATCTTTGTTATACATGCTAAAAGGAGGCTTCCCAATTTACTTAAGACTCTTATCTACAGGTTTGTAATTTATTTTCAATTAGACTTTTCGCTAAACCTTTATGATTACTAAAAAAGCTGCTTGTGCTAATTCAAAACAATTTGCCGTAAAAATTCTGACAAAAGTTAAATTCTGACAGTCACTTTATACTTTACTCAAACTGATAAACAAACGCAAACACAATAAACACATTATGATTGAGTCTTCTTTCGAGTTCACAGTTTCATCTAAAAACAAGCCAATTCTTAGAGCGTCCGGCCATGAATTTTATTTCAAGCGAAAAAATAAGTTTACAGAAAACTGGATTTGCTCAAAATATCAAACACATAAATGTCGAGCAACTGCCATTACTGAAAATAACGAATTAATCGAGACGCGTGGAGAGCATAATCACGACATTTCAGCGGGAAAATCGGAGGCCCGAAATGTCATAAAGCATATAAAAGATCTCAGCGAGAGATTTACCCCGACTGTTGCAGTTGTCAGTGCGGTTTTGCCAATTACCAACGATTTGGCTACTCAGTTTGCTCTCCCAAGTAAAGACAAACTGATCCGAACGGCTGCTCGCACTCGTAAGCAGCTAGATGTAAATATGCCGCCCATCCCCGTTTCGCGAAATTTCGAGATCCCTGAAGTTTTTGAAAATTTTATCCGGTATGACAGTGGATCAAATGATCATGAGCGAATCATTTTGTGCGGCGACCCCGAAATGCTGAGAGTTCTGGAGAAGTCATCTTTCTGGTTAGCCGATGGAACTTTCAAAATTACCCCAAAAATGTTCTATCAGCTTTATTCAATTCATATTAGTGTATCTGGCATTGCGCCAGCCTGCATTTACGCCTTTGGAACCAGCGAGATGCGGCCGTGATTCAATCATATTTCAGCGGAGCCCACCCAAATATGTGGAAAGTAGTGGGTAGCCTGCAAAAAGACGCTTCCGTACAAAAACTCAACTTTTCTGATGCATCGAGTGGCCATAAATTCACAAAAAAGAAAAAGTATCGAGTTTTAAATGAAAGAGTATAAAACATAATGTCCTTTTACGAAGACAAAACTGATCTGTACTTTTTCAGAGCGTTATCTAGTTTGTGCTAAACCATTGTAAATTTTATTTCATTTTTGTTTATTCTTTCGTATTATTAAAATTCAAATTTTAATCCTACTGAAATTTATGTCAGCTTTTTTTGAAAAGACGTTTCCTTGCAGACTCCCGGAAACGTAACTAAACGCAAGAACATGACTCGTGCCTTAGCAATTTACTCCCAGGACAATCGCCCTTATTTTCGGGATGCTAGGTTGGGACTACGGGCTGGCAAACCCTTTAGCTTTGCGTTTATGTGCTAACAGTTCAAAAAAAGCTGACAAATCGATCAGGTCATAAGTTTAAGTTCGAGAAGTTAGATAAGTTAGATTCTAAAAATAATGATTTTAAGGCTTCTGGCATTGGTTAAACCTTTTTAAAATTTTTATACCGGCTGAAAATGTCTAGAAAATCAGGCCATAATAGTCAAAGGACGTCTAATTATTTGCGGGCTTTTGATATTCATTGAACTATTGCTTGTTTTTGGTTCATTTTGGAATTATTCATTGAAAATATTGGCAAGGCTATTTCATTTTGGTTTGAAACGTTTCATTGAAATCATTTGCAAGGTCATTTCTATTCAAAACTTACGCGAATTAAGTAGCGCAAATTTGTCTGGCTTTAAATGGCAAACATTTCTCTCGTTTAATTCTTTGATGGTTACCGAAATCCCCTTTGAAGTAAGTTTTCTTTTCATTTTGGATTAAAACGGTGTTAAGTCATAGAAATTGTTTTAAAATGTAGCGATGTTATATTGCTAAGGCAACAAAAAGTAGGGAGTGAAATTGTAGGGTGTTAAGTTGTTTAGAGTTAAAAAGGGGGGAAACCGTTTTGACAACAAACGTTTTGTCATGTGTTTGACAAGCGTTTGAACATGTGTTGTGACAAGCGTTTTGACATGCATTTTTTGACATGCGTCTTCACATTTGTTTTGACGTGCGTTTTGACAAACGTTTTGACATGCGTTTTGACATGTGTTCTGACAGGTGGAATCCCTCATGCGAGAAGGACCAAATGCGCGAAAAAACAAATCAACCAATCAGATTTCAGTAATCTAAAAATTGGAAAGAAAGTCATCATTTCCAGGGACTGGAGTATTGATATTGGCCGAATATAAAAACGGCAGATATATGCAAAATTTTCAAATTGTCATTGACCGCCGGAGAATTGGGACAAATTTTCAAGGGTTTCGTAATGAAAGAAGCAAAATATTGCTTCATTTAATTCATTTTAACTGAATGGCAACTGTTTCTTTTTAAAAATTGACTTTCGGCTAATTTTGACTTCAATCCTTGGCCCACAAGTTTTTTCGCCCATTCGGTCCTTCGCGCATGAGAAAAGCCCCCGTTCTGACATGTGTTTGACATGTGAATTATAATATGCGTTTTCAGATGTGATTTGACATGTGTTTTGACATGTGTTTTGACGTGCGTTTTGACATGTGCTTTGACGTGCGTGTTGACATGTGTTTTGACATGCGTTTTAACATGCGCTTTGACATGCGTTTTGAAATGTGTTTTGATGTGCGCTTTGACAACCATTTTGATATGCGTTTTGACATGCGTTCGACATGCGTTTTTTGACATGCGTTTTTTGACATGTGTTTTGACGTGCATTTTAACAAGCGTTTTGCCATGTGTTTTGACATGCGTTGGACTGTTGTGGATCTGCTCTGATAATTGTACAGGTGAGGGCTGGCAAATGGAAGGACACGGAAGACTTTGTAGCTGGAAACCAAGGCTGCCCTTTTCTTATCTTCAACGACTTCGTCAAGGCCAGCGAACAAAACAAGGGACGCAATGCCAAGGCTGAGATGGGGGTAAAACACCATACTTTCATTGATTTACAAATCATTAGAATTTTCCGTTGGCTATCTTTTTCACCTTTTAAAGGTAATTGATTTTCTATTTTCTGCGTTTTTTTAATATCCTGAAGGCTTCAATAAAGACAAGATATGAATAGTTATCATAATCTTCTTTTTAAAGAAAAAATGTTCAATTTGAATGCTCTCTTTTTTTCTTGTAAAAAACCGGGACTTTAAAACCATTGAGCACCAAAGGCTGTTTTCTTTTGTTTAGCACCTAAAAATATCAAATTATTATATTCAAATCATAATAATAATTATTAAAAATTGTTTTAGATTGCTGTTAAACTCGTAGAAAATCATTATTCTTCGAAAAAGAGGAAAGTAATATTCATAATATAATCATCGAGTCTGTGAATCTGAATCAGCCATCAATGCTGAATTTGGAACGTTCTATTCATATACATGTCGCTGTCAGTAGTTTTTCATACTTCTGGTTTTCGCGTTTGATTGATTTTCTGTGACAAATTTCGGTCAGCCTAGCAAACTGCACTTTTCACCATGCATGCGTGTTAGCTTGAAATGTGTAGAATGTATAAATTGGTTATTTCAAACGTAGTCATCTATCTATGCAAGTTTTTGCAGTTTACAAAGGAAGATTGCGGTTCTGAGGTCATAAATATGCCGAACTCAATCCCCAGCAAAACCACCACTGTAGCTGGCA